AAAGATAAAAATAAATTTTATACAATGCATTATAATGCATTAACATAATCTCTTTAATTGAACGAAAAAAATTGAAAATTTGATACAAGACAGAAACGCGACAAGTGAAACGTGACACGTGAGAAATTCCGAGAAAGAATGTCCTCGGTCGGGAAAATGATACACAGTTGTATCATTTTTCAAGTTGAAAGAAAAAGAAACCGCTTGACAGAAACTTCAAGTGTGTGCGAAGTTTTCCACGATCAGACGAATGATTCGCAATCGTGTTAAATAACGTACGCGATCGGACAGATTGAATTCAGACGCCGCTACTCTCTCTCTCTTTCTCTCTTTCTCTCTTGCCTAGAAGACTATCGACCGTACGTGGCGATATTAGCCACGGTTGAGTTGCCGGCGTGGCTCGGAAATGAAAAAATATATTGCCCGCCGTGGAGCAGAAACATCCGGCCCGAACGAATGGCGTCCCATTTTTTTTTTCTATCTTTTTATTTTTCGTCGCCCAAGATAAAAAACAATTTACGCGCGAGCTCGTGTTTTTTCACACATATTTCAATTTCTTTTCGTCGTCGAAGACGACCTTGGTTGCTCGACCACCGCAACAATATATCGAAATATTGCAGAACACGTGAAACGATAATTGAAGTAAATTGAATTTTAAAAAAATATATATACACATATACACAGGATGAGAGAGGTTTTCTTTCGGAAAATGTGTGTAAGAGTTTTGTGACGGGAAAAATTGTTTGAGCGAGATTAGATCTTACGAACCGCAATCGTAGCGATTAACGATCCGGCGCCAATTTGAATCTTTTCCACCGGCAGGGCCGCAGACGGAAGAGCTTCAACGGACGGCGGAGAGGCGACGGAAGAGAGGCATCGTAGGCTCTCTCGTTCCAGGGACGTATCGATCGCAGTTTGTGCCTATGCTTCTTGCCTGCGAGACAAACGAGGAACCGAGCGCGCATAATGTCGAGAGCGCGCGTGTACACGGCGCACTTCGCTCCCGTGTTTGCCCGCCTTCCCCTCGTCGTGCTTGTCACGAAACAGGGTGTAATTCGCGCCCTCGTGTAACCACTCCCTTCTCCTCGTCGTCTTCCAACGGGTGTTTAACGACCAAGAAAATTCCAAAAAGTCCAGCTCGACATCGCCGTCGGGCGCAGACGGTCGCGTTTACGAAGGTCGTTGCCTTTAACGCGAATTTTACCCCGCGCTACCCTTACCCGCGAATCTAACCGAGGATATTCGCAAATCGCTTGTTAAAAAAAAAAGAAAAAAACGCGAAGAGAATCTTTAAATATACAAGTTTCCAAATAGACGCGAAGTGTTAAATAAATATTTATCAATGACAATCCGGCGTTGAAGGTTCTAAACTGTATGTTGGACACGTAGAGACACACACATCGAGTCTCCCCCCCGAATAAAATAATCGGATAAAAGACTTGAGGAGAATTTCCCATCTGTGCGAACGTAACGTAAAGCCGTGAATTAAACATCGCGCCAACAAGGTCAATTTTGCGGGAAATTGTCTCGTCCGTGTAGTTTTTTTTTTTTTTTTTTTTTTTTTTTTTTTTTTTTTTTTTTTTTCACTTTTCGCTCGATACATCCGCGTGGCGGGGACGGATTTCAGTCGATAATATTTGTGCGTGCTAGTACACACACACACATTGTTGCCGTAAGAATCGTTCGTCGGAGACAGCGCAATAAATATGGAATGAGGGCCCTACCGCCGCGCATTAATTCCGCGGATCCGCCATTATTCAGGTTCCCTCTGCAAATCCTCGATACATTATCGAACGTGATACGCGCGCATATGACGACCGTCCCTAATCCCGGTCCTTCGGGAGAACAGAGAGGCTCGGGGAAGGCTCTACGTGTACATCACGGATAACACAAGTATGTAAATACATTTCGAAAATGCTCGAAGAAAACGTAAACTATCAAAACACAACAATCTATATATTGCAATATACATATATATATAAACGCGCGCACAAGTTTCTGAAAGAAAAGACTTCTTTTATTTACTTTTCATTAGAGGATCGCCGTCAGTGACGACATTTAACGCGATTGGTTCTAACAAGTTTTCGACGCGAAAGAGAAATTCGATTTTCCGAAGAAAAACAAGATACTGAAAAAGACGGTCGATCATTAAATTTACGTTCGCCAGCGCAAAACGATGTAATACGTGACATACCGACAGAGTTCGCGTTTTTCTCTTCCTCCTCTTCTTCTTCCCGTCTATACCGAATTAAGGATCGAGGCAGCTGGCTCTTTCAACTCTCTCCGCGCCGTGCGCGGAGAATAACCCGTCACCGGTAACAGGTGCCGGAGGCTTATTGTGCATCGGCACCCTAATGCACTTGCGAGCTCGTCGGATGTTGCTGGTTGCGAACGATGTAACGCGACGTCGTCGCGGTTTTTCGCGCGCGCGCGCGAGAGAGTGAGGGAAAGGAAGAAAAATGCGCCCCGATGCGCGTCCGTGTGCCGCTGAAATATTACGCTCGGTGCACGAAATATCTTTGAGAGCATGATTTCGCACTTTCCTTTGAAGTAAGTTACGGCGAATATATACACGTACAGCGCCGCCGCCGCTGCCGCCGATACTCGGAAAGAAAAAGCAAGAAAAGAGAGCAAACGTAACGCGAGATTCGCGAGATATGCAAAAATATATTTTTCCCCGATACCCCGCGGCAATGCCGAATAAACACGTCGTTCTTCGGTAAAAAAAAAAAAAAAGAAAAAATGGATTTATTGACACGCCCTTTTGCTCTCTTTATCGACAACTGCGTTAAAACATCATTGAACTTGCGCTCGAGAAAACATCGAATTTTTATTCAATATTTACGCGTGTGTAATTCATCACGAATAAATAGAAAGATGTAACATTTGATAATAAAATAACGGTCCGTGATTCAAATCTAAGCGAGAATGATGAATGAAAGCGACTGATAAACATCTACGAGCGTAAGAAATATTGATGTTGTTTAATAATTTTTATATTATTATGTTCACAATTGCGACTGAAGAAGACTCCAGTTAGAGTCAAAATATTTTGCGTATTTTTTATATTACTTATGTTAAAGCTTTGATCATTAAATCATTATATTATTATATTAATATCTTTTTTTGGCTCGATGTGACCTTTTTCATTTGCTAATTTGTATTTACATTACGAGCAATTTTCTGTTAATTTATTACATTTTTCTTAATAATTTTTATTTCTTTCTCTATGTGTTAAAAAAATCACCCGACAACATCGTCGCGCGTCGCAAAAGAGCCAATGTTCAGCCCTTCGATCTTGGGCGGAGTTTGCGGTTTGGAAGTTGCAGCATGAACGAACCTTGCGATATCGCATTACCAGATCGAATAATGTGATTTTTAGGGTTTCAGTTTAGACCCAAAGAAGGAAACCCAACAATCTTGTCCAATAAAACAATACAATAGCTATACTCTTGTATAGATAGACGGCCGTTCAAAACACGAAATTGGATTCTTCACGAAAAGCTAGCTTTGCCGTTGTAACATTTGTGAAATAAACAAATCACTCGATCACAAATGTAATCGATTTTAAAGTGTAAAATGTTTTATGCGAACGTTGAAAAATACGAATTCGGTGATAAAATATTCCCAAAGTATCAACGCGAATAATTGGAAAGCACGTAATTTGATACACTAACTCGGTTGAAAAAGAAATCGGCTCGTAAAAAGTTGTGTAGGTGTGTAGATTCTCGAATTCTCTCGAAAGTTTCGCAGTTTCCACACGCGAGACCGATCCCTGTGAGAAATTTAATCGTACATGGACTGCGCGATTGTATTCGGTAGTCCATTAACGTTACCTCCGGCACATGATGCTCTGTAATTAGGTCATCGCTTATGCTCACATCGCTCACGTTTCGAGGTGCTCGATGATATAATGCGAGACCGGCGCTGGCTTACATATTCGATGACAATTCGCGTAAAGAGCAGATTTTTTTCCCTCCCCTCCAAAAAGAAGAGTATATATTTTGTTCGCGATATGTTGTAATTTATCCACGGAGAAGGTGGTACACGTTTTGCGCGAAACAGAAATTCATATCGCGATACGTAAAATATGCAAACACAGACGATGATACACACTACGTTTTACCGAAGATTAAAATTAACATTAAACGCATTAAATTCTCTCGAAAAAAAAAAAAAAAAAACATTCGCGAGAGAGAAGTTACGTGAAATAAAATTTATCTTATATTTTCGCGCGCGCGCACCTCGTTAGTATCATTTATGAGACCGCACGGAGACGCGGGGAGGAGGGGTGGATCAATACGAGTACGCAATTAGATCTTGTTTTGCGAATATACACATGTTAGCATGCTTACGGTAAATGTTCATGTCACGGACGCAACGGGTAATTCACAATGATGTTTTTCGAAGTTAGATTTATGGCTCGGCAAAATATCTCGCGTAACAAAAGCGGGGATGCGAAACGGAAGAACGATTTATTCGCTCCGCGTCTGCGTGCAATATCGATGCACGCGGCGAATCCCGTGTGTATCTACCTAAATTGGTTTGTCTACCGCACCGTAGAATCTATCCTCGCAAGTAACAGAAAATCGAACGCCTCTTTCTCTCTCTCTCTCTCTTTCTCTCTCTCTCAAGCCGCCGAATAATCGCGTATATCTCGTACACGTTTTTATTCTTAGCCCTTCCCGCGTTTTCGTCGAGCAAATTGTGTATTCGAACAAAGAAACTTAAAGATTCAAAAATCGAAACGAGATATTCTCTTATATTCATTCGACGACCTCACTACTTCTCGACAGAAGATAAATAACAGTTTCAGTTTGTCGCGATAACATCACGACGGTACATATCAAGAGAGTCGAGATTCGACGAAAAATATTATTTATTGCTATATCGCTTGGTTCTTGCAAATTCATCCTCCGCGTACATACGCGCGCGCGCGAGAAGAACTTGGCAACTTGGCGCGCGTATGCGCGAAATCATATCGATGTTCGCGTTCTTACCTTGCGTGCTGCCGTTGGGCTGGCCGGCTTGCTGCGGTATCCCGGGATACATGGGCGAGGGATGGGGCGACGGTTGATTGCTGCTGGGCGGTCCTGCGGAATGCGGGTTGGCAGTCGTCGGGGTCGGCGTGATCGAGGGTGCTGTTTGCTGGGGTTGCTGCACGTTGCCGATGGACGTAGGTGTAGCCGCCGGGGTGCCGTCGCCCGCGCCTCCGGTCCCGCCTCCGGTCACGGCGCCCCCGGTCGGTTGTTGCTGTTGCTGCTGCTGCGAAGACGGCGGCAACGGCGGCTGCTGTTGTTGCTGCTGCTGCTGCTGGGGCGTTTGCTGCGGCGTCGGCGGTTTTTGCGCGTCCCCCGCCTGCTCGCTCATCGTTTCTGCAACGAGACAAGATCGAAGACGGTCTTGAATATTAATTCATCAGAGCCCGGTCGTTCTTCTCCGCAAATTAGAAACTCTCTCTCTTTCTCTCTCTCTCATTCTCTCTCTCTCTCTCTCTCTCTCTCTCTCTCTCTCTCTCTCTTTCTCTCTCTCTCTTTCTCTATCTATCTATCTATCTATCTATCTATCTATCTATCTCTATCTCTATCTCGTTTCTAGGAATGCCGCCTAAATGCGCGATCAATCCGCAAACCGGATTCTCAACACGTAACTTGAGTTACCAGAGCAGCGCAGAAATTTACATGGCGGTGCTTGCCAACGTTTGGTTGGGTAACGACGAAGACGTTAAAGCTTCGTTAATTAATGCCGCTTTCATGACGCTCATCAACAGAGATGTCGAACAGCACTGTCGGATACATATATATATATATATATATGTATATACATATATGTATTTTAGACGAGGATTACAAGATGAGAACAAGAGAGGGAGTAATTTTAGCGCGCGCAAAGGGCTCGGATGTATACAGATGGATTGAATTTAACGCAGGTTATATAGGAAGTTCACAAAACATCGATCTGGATGGGATTTCAAAGATCAAAAAGTTTATGGCGCGTGACAGATCGAAATATCATTCCATCATATTTCAAAACAGCAAGTCAATGCGCAACGATCGTTTAACGACATGTGACGTTTCGTAGATTCCAGTGTCATATCAATTTAATTCGGGTCCGAGAGATAAGCTCAAAACTGCGAAACACAATATGTAGGTCGTGTTTGTTGTTGTTCGTACGCAATAATAAACGTACTGCCACATTTTTGTCATATATTTCTGACATATCAAAGCTGGTTTTATACTCGATATACAAAAAAACACATCGCGAATGTAAAAATTATTGAAAGCAGAAAAAGATATATCTTGACAAAAAAAAAAAAAAAAAAAACAACATTTCTGTTTTTTCCATATGTAAAACGCAAAATTTATGCCGCGCGCGATACAAAAAGCTGATATGATACTTCATTAACGCGCGCAAATTGCGCAAAAGTGTACAATATTAGATTTTGCAATATTATTACGTTTTTTTTTTTTTTTTCAAAATATTGATATTCTATTTCGAGACACACGGCGGATAATAACGTTGAACTTTTTTAATACACGTCGTGATGATATCTGCCGCCGGTATATTTTTTCCTCGATGTTAACTCCTACGCGTGATATCCTCGCCGCTACGTTATCCCCGCGCTCTATTCGTATCACTGGCTCTCAGTCAAAAGGAGGGAGAAAAAGAGGGAGGGAGGGAGGGAGAGAGAGGCAGAGATTTTGCAGTTAATTTAAATAAACGTATCACCGACGTAGTAACTATGGGATGACGTACGTTGATAAATAGCCCTGCGGGCATTGCCATTGACTGAATATCTGCCATCAAGTTTCACAACTTTCCAGCGATAAACCGACGAAATTTCGAGCGAAATACTTTAAATTATACAAAAGCTGAAAACAAAAGCGCCACGGTCTCGTTTTCTCTCTCTTCCTCTCTCTCTCTCTCTCAGTTCTTGCCTCGAAAAGTTTCGACTGGTATAAGCGGAAATGTGACTGGTGACAAGAACTAGCGGAATAGTTTCGGAATCAATAGGAAAACCAAGATTTCCTTGGCAAGAGAGAGAGAGAGAGAGAGAGAGAGAGAGAGAGAGAGAGAGAGAGAGAGAGTGGGGATAAACCGGTTAAATAGCATTGTTTTGTGTTAAGTACCGAGGGAAAGACGTATTAATCACTCGAGAAGTTTCGCAATCTTTGACGCAGCAAAGAAAAGTATGGGAGGGACGTTATGAAATCGACTTCCTCCGCGTTAATTACCCGATTACATCTGTGTCCTCGAGCATTATCGTGCGAGAGATGATGTCTTCCCCTCCTCTCGTCTTCCCTCAGACGCTTCTGAACTTTCTCTCAGATACACGCTTGTGAATCAATTTTGCACTTACTTGGTTTTTGTAGCCGAGAAACTAGCAATTTTCTCGACAAAGCGCTTATATTTATTGCACACATCGCACGATCGATATTACGAGTTTTAGTCCGATCGGGCTTTCGCCCTATCAGTTTTATGTAAAAGGTTTTCGCTTCGAGAAAATCACTATAAAGAAGACAATGTAGTACCGCTAAAGTACACAATCTTCAGTGCCAATTTCTTCGAAATTCGCTCACCCCCCGGTTCCCCGATTATATAGGGTGGGAAAAAAACAAATCTTGTTTTTGAGTGGGATGATGATCTTCTCGAGCGAGATCTTTGGGTTTAATTACGATCGAGCTTTGGCGAGCCTTCGGCGGGCTCGCCTGATGGGACAATTATGCCTCGTGTCTCGCTCTTGAGATCACTATAAAAAAAACAATGTAGCTTCAGAGCTTATGAAATACTTGAACGCTATTTATACCTGAGCAAATATTGTATTTATTACGAAACATGTAAAACTTTTGAACAAATACATGTAATATATTATCATATTACATGTTTCTCTTTTTTGCTCTAAACTTAGACCGCAGTTATCTAATTAAAGCTCAGAACAAAGAGGGAATTTTTGTTTTCAATTATCGGCCTGTTATAGAAGGTATTAAAAACTTTTGAAATTTCTAATCATCCTGCTAGACTGTTGATTATTTTTATATCAACACCCTTCCTCCATACTGTCGAAGTGGCAGCATGACCAAATGCTGGTGCAAATTCCTTCCTAATTCCGCATTTAGCCAGGAATATGCGGATCCAACGGCTTATGGTATTCCTAGACGCTGGCTTATATGGTCGTATAATTGTGACCAGTAATGTGTCACTATTTCCCCTCATGCTGGTTTATCCTTGAATTCTAGGAGAATGCACCAGGTCAAGTTGCCTTATCGGATATTTTTTTTATTTCGTAACCTGACAACGTTTTCTTGATGTTACTTCTTGACGATACTTACTTTTATTAACGACAGTGCTTGTTTACGATGTGCTGTACAATACAACCAATTTATTTGTTAAATCCAGTAAACTTAAATTTTCCAAGAGATACATTTTTTCCATCGTATTCAATACTGGCTCTAGATTGTATATTACTTTGTCATATTTAAGGCTTTAAGGGTTTCTTGCAGAAGATACCTTTCATTAGTTTAAATACAATGTGACGCTTCCCTATCTTGTCACCCGTTATTATAGATACAGTGAATCTAAACATATTTAATGTTCCGTGAAAAGCTCTTTTCTTAAATTTATCGGTTAGCCATCCAATGACGTCCTTAATTTGTAGATTAAAAATATCACATTTTTATAACATACAATATCTAGTCCAATCACAGATCGACTTAATATATTGCTTCAATGTCGATCCCGCAATCGAACTCGTGTATAAATCTATAGCTTCAGTACTTATGCTGATCCTTTAGTGCGCCTGTCCGGATAAGAGCCCGACCATCAATCGCATTTTTATTGCAAAAGGATGTTGAATTCTCCTCATGATTTATTTTTGTGCTGGTGGAAGGTTCTGCGACGACGATTGTCGTCCCTGAGAGAATGATTCCCTGAACTGCCCCGACTCTTTCCTCGAGAAAATGTTCTTTGGTTGAAAACCAACCCTTTGATAGATGTTTTCTTGTAGTGCGTCTGATACTGATTTCAAAATGTTGTAGACGGGCAACAGCCTTTGAATTTTAAAGCATCTGCTGGTTTAAATGTTAATTTTTTTTTTTCTAGTAAACTGAGATTTTAAAGCCAGACCCAATTTTTCTATAGATTTGACAGATTTGATTCGTTGAAACAACTTTGAACCAAACAGGAATTCTCCTGTTTTTGAATCTTTTACCAATTTTTCAGCTTTAACGTCCAATCCTGGATAAATAACTGATTTTCTTTGCTGCTAAAAGTTGATTAAATAATTCACACATCAACTTTTCTGATTCTATCAGATCTCTCAACAGATCTTTTGTTTTTATTTCTTGTTTTTGTCCTTCAAAGATTTTTGTAATAGTCGAATCGAGCGCAGAGACTTGCCCCACATAGTTCTTGTGTGATCGGCTGATAAATATATTTATCTCTTTTCTTAATAGCATTATTAATGATCGTTTCAATCTCTGGATTAAGCTTTGAATGCCTCAATAGGGCAGTTCCCTTTACGCGAATATTTTTCACGAAATTCAGTTTTTTCTTTTTTTTTTTAATCCAGATAATAGAATCTTTTTCCAAGTACAGGCTAAGTTGGAGTGGAAAGTAAACTTTCCGACAGATTTTTTGATCATTGTCATCTCTTAGAATGTCAAGAGTCGTTTGATATAACTCGGCGAAACTACTTTCGTCGATTTTATCATCTGTCTCTTCAAGATATTTAGAAGAATTTTCTGGAAGGGTTTCTTTATCTTTCCGTTTTTTTTCCCGTTCCCGGAACACTTTCCTCATCGGAAGAGACTAAGAGCCAAGACTTAAAAAAATGGCCGCTATAATAAAATCTAGAAAGTGGCGCTATCTACAATTAAATTAATAACGTCACTATTTTTCTCCCTCAATGCCATATAACTTTTGTCTGAAACATTTTTTTTCTTTTAATGCGACTGAAATATTTGAATGTCTAAGTTAAAATGAGATATCCTGTATTTATTATAAATAAAAAAAATATTTTTAAAACTGTATTTAATTTATATTTTAGCATAAAAAACGTAACCTAACCTAACCTAACCTAAAAGCAGGGTTTGGTAATATAACAAGATTTGTTTGTGTGTGTTTACATGATGCCGACATTTTGACGTATGTTCTGGCTCAGACAAAGCTCGCGTAGAGTGTTGAGCGTAACGTGTCGTCGCAATGAACTTGCCAGATGAACTTGCATCTGGCAGTCACAGAAACATCACGTCATGAAAGCACGCTTGCATACGCCAACACGTATTGCCACCATTTTGTTTGCTGCAAACTGATGATAGTGCGTATCATACGAGTTCAATAAAAATAAATAAATAAATAAATTATATCTTAATAAATAAAATCTTTCACCAGAACTATACGTGTGATGTATTATTTGTAAATACACCAACTAACTCCGCACCCGAATAAACCGCGGAAGTACCTCGAGTCTCATTCAAACTTGTCGGTAAAAAAGTTTGCACTCATATCATATCGTGATAACATCAACCATATGATACTATTTTGTTAATCGGTCGTAAAAATGGTAAGAGAGACAAAGTATGTAATTATATAATCTCAAGCGTGAATTTATATCAATCACTATGTAAATTCGTAAATCGACTCGGCAATTAATCGCAACATTTTCATGCAAAGTGCAGTCGATAGCGCGCTAGTCACGGAAATTGAGTTCGCGTCTGCCACGGTAACGAGTGCAATGCAATTATACGATCTTCGGCAAGTTGTCGACGCCCTAATGTTCTCTTTCTCGTTTCCTGTGTGTCGTCTGCCCGATGGGGAATGAACATCATTTTCGACGCGACCGTCCGTCGGGTAAACGAACTCGGAAATATCTGTCTGGCGCGCGTGCAAATTTTACGACGGGAAATGCCACATAGACCAAGAAAGACAACAACGATTGAAAAGCAAACTTCCAAACGTAAAAATAACGCGATCGAAAATTCGCGAGATAAAATTGTTAAAAAACTGTTCGTGATTTGTAAAAAAAAAAAAGAGTGGAACAAATTAATTGACGAGCAGAAAAATTTTATAGAGAGACGCATATTTCACTCACCATTTTCCGGAAACGACGTCGATCGTATCACGGGCAGCAATATCCCCTTCTGCACCAACTCGTCTCTGCTGGCACGTACTGAGATTTTTCTCTCGAGTGCTGATAACAAAAAAACAGACAAACCGAACGCAAAACGTTATTATATTTATGTTTTAGCTTGTCAAATTATATCCGCAATGCAGTTATAAATTATTATCAGGTATTAATTATGTACATCTGTTATTATTGGTGCACAACAACACACGTATTATGTATAATGTAATCAAATTTACTATAACAAATTTGTGTTACAATATGTATGAAATTAGATTATTAAAATATATTAAATGTTCATCGCACTAAGCAGATGTATAATTTTAATGCAAATTTTAACAATATACATTATTCAAAAATCTGAAAATCTTATTTATAATGTAACAACGAAAATAACAAACAAAAATGCTCACAATTCACAATTCATTAAAATTGTAACTTGATAAAATATATTTCTCGTTAAATTAAAATTCCTTTTATCACATGTGAGATAAAAATTTAAAAAACAAATTTAATTTCTTTCACAAATCATTAACTTACATAATGAAGCGGCCTCGAATTTGTCCGATTTCTTTTTCCGCTTCCATTTCCAAGGTTTAAAGAGTCTACCGAGGGCCGAAAATTTGCTTTTTCTTTCCAAGGGCGGCGTTCTCGCACCCGAACCCAAACTGTTTGTCCGTAGAGCAGCACCATTTTGTTTCTTTGCTGTAACAAACATTAGAATTTTATTAATATCGATTTTCTTTACCGCAACAAAATAATGACTACAAGTTTTACTGCTTTTTTTTTTTGTTCAAGAGTGTCCACTTTTTACACCTCTTATTTATACTTTTTTCGAGACATTTTCTACAGATGTTAGCGGTTCTAGATTATACGAGAATCTTGCGAGTTGCGCTACAACCGTGATGACAGATGGCGTGCGAGCGTTCTGATTAGAAGTCTACAGAGAAGTTTCAGCGTCTGTTATAGTCGTGAAAGACGTTTCTGAACTGTGAACAAGATCGGTCGAAGAGCTGTTACATTACATCGCGTCGTGTGATGAAAGATATTTCTAAAAAAAAAAAAAATAATAATTCAGACGATTATTGTCTCCGTACTAGATAAAAAAGTTTTCGTAATGATATCGAGCATCGCGGTGTCAGTAAATGTTCAGAGAAGTATTGCGTTATGAGAGCAACACGATAGTCAATCAGCATTTTGCTCTTGTGAAAAATATGTTACTTTTTAATAAAAGCAAAATGCTAAGCAATTATCGTGTTGAGCGTAACGCCGCAACCTGTCGACGTTGCCGCGTCCTGTTTGTTTCTAAGGCGTTCTAAGGCGCGTGACGATGTGTCTCCGACGCGGTTGATGAATAACAAAAAATTGAAAAACAAAATGAAAAAATAAATATTGAACCGACAAAAGAAATTAATATAAAACCTTCGTACACGTAATTTCTTATTTAGAAATATAAAAAAAATTGTACTTTTTTAGGCGCATATGATACGCAAGTCAAACGTTATCTACGGTTGAATATGCCGTATCAACTTGGGATACGTATGTCTCTTCAAGATTTTCCGCTTTTCCACTAAAACCAAAAGGTATGCAGTTCCCTATGTTATCCACGGTTACCGACCAGGGATGAAATGTTTTCCATCCCCTTTATCGGCGTTTGAAAAGATGGAAACGGGGTAAAAAAAAACACAGAATCGGGCGCGTGATAAAAATTCAGATAGAAATATCCTGATTGCATATACGCTTCATGTATGTTCCAGCAGCTGATAATCAAGGATAAATAAAAAAATTAAACATTTCAATAAATTTAACTCGAGTGTTAATGTCCTCAATGTTTCCTACACACACATCTACGGATAACTATAATTTATTATAAACATATATTAAATAATCCGATGCAATTTTCATCAAGTATTCTCAACTTTCCACACAATCCTCGTGTAAAATTTTCAACAGAATTTTCAGTGTGAACGGAAACTGTTTACGTTGTTTTATCGTATCACAAACTGACTGTACCAACTTATTATGATAAGGTGCGAATTAGGTAAAGTAGTGTTTGAAGCATTATCGTATAAAATTGCAAATTAGTTTACATATTAGTTTACAGTTTCTGAAATGCGCATCTCGAGCAAATTACGTTTCCAAATGTATGTATAATTAATTTTATTTTGTTACACACTCAAACTTGATATATGTAATTTACAATAATATCTTTTGTTTCCTCTTTTTGCTCATCTCGTATGTTACACGTACGAGAGATGAGCAATCAACGTACACGCAAATACTAGAATTTATTTCAAGTTTTATAACGATGACGAAAGCTGAACTTATTTAATTCACATTCGTATTTATAATGCATTTATTTATATTATTAGCAAATGTTTTTTTTTTTTTTATTACGGCAGAAGAGAGTTTTCTATCTCTTCACAAAACAATTGGAATCTCTCGTTCGGGTGAGCGTGTTTTATTTCTCGTTTAATTTTTTCTATCTTCCGTCTGATTTTATTGTGCGCTCGAGATAGAGACACAACCCTCGTCGTGTGTTACGATAAAATCAATACCCGACGCGTTTTACCCCCATAGATAATTTCGCGAATTTTCCATCGTGTGATGCTTTAAAACATTATATCTACTCGATCACGTTGGACCGAAAATGAAATGATTTTGCTTTCAGAGCAAAGCGTACATTTACGAAATTAATATTATATACAATTTGTAGTATAAATTGAAACATGTTTTCTTTGTCAAAACAAAAAAAAGCAAATATGACAAACCAAAAATAAAACAAACCTGTTTGCGCAAATATCAAATGACGTAGTGAACATTAAGGGACAAAAAACAGGTTAACATTTACTAGAAATTCTAAAATTGTACGTACTTTTATGCGACCTGTGAGCAATAAATTTAGAAAAAAATTCTCTTCTTTTATATCGAAACGAAAAAACCTTCGTGCGCACGAAAGGTACATTTAACTCGAGATAACGAAATTAACTGAAGAAAATCTACAGTCGTGATTTTGAAGCGAACCGCTCGGCTTGTTTCCCACCCCTTATCTCTCTACCAGTCTCGCTGCTGTTGGATGAAAGTTCGCTGTAAGAATCCGCTTCCTGAACACAACCTTTCAACCCGCAGTTATCGACCATCTACCTTCCTGTTTGCAACGTCCTTAGTAGTACCTACGTAACGCAGTTTGCTTTCTCGCGTTGAGAGATACACTACGCATAATCGTCGCGAAAATGCTTTCACAGCAATAATTTGTACAAATGCGCAAAATAAATAAGATGCATCGACGTAACACGATCGTGTTAATTACGTTTCTCGAGAAACGTAATTAAATTTTATAGTTCCGTAATTATGTAGTTCTAATAAATAATTTATATCTTTAATAAATAATTTACATTTAATATAATGTACATTTTTTAATATAATGTACATTTTTATAGAACTCAACTTGTAGTTTTATAGAAAAAAATTATACAATACACTCAAAAACATACATATGTAATATACATCTTCTTTAATGAAAGCAAATAAAATATTGCAAATATAAAATATCTCTATTACAGAGACGTGAGAGAATTGAAGTAACTTTTTGTCCCGTTAGATCTAGTTTATCTCTCTTTCTCTCTTTCTCTCTCTCTTTCACTTTAAAAAAGTAAATAAAATATTGCAAATATAAAATATTTTTAATATAGAGAGAGACGTGAGAGAATTGAGTACCTTTGCTACCGTTAGATCCAGTCTATCTCTTTCTTTTTCTCTCTTTCGCCAAGAAAACCTATCATAAACTGTCGCTAAGGAAAAGAAATTCTCCCATACGCACAGTCATAAACAACGTTGCTCCGCTCGCGTCGTCATCCACCCTATAATGCATAATGTAAAACCTCCGTATATCTCGCGAGAGAGAGAGTCACGAAGTGCAGACTGCTGTTGGAAAGATGAAACGGGACCGAAAGAAAAGCGCGTCGTGTGCACGTAGCTATCAAACGGCAATTCCGAGGAACCCTCTGTGTGGGGAATAATGGCCGATAAGGTGCGGTAGGGCAGTTTTGCGAGTGTGAGGCCGGGAGCGAGCCGATTACGGCATCCCTCCGGGACACTCTTCGTGACTCTATAAACGTCTTGAAGAGGACTCGAACCGCACGGGAAGCGACTTTCGCGACGAGACGTGGGTTTGAAGTCGCGTAAATGACGATCGCTTAATTAGTCGCACTGGAGTGTTAATCCCACGCGACAAGTCCGGAAGTCGTGCGGTAAAGTTCGAAAAAGCATTCGGAAGAGAAACGACTCTTCGACACGCATAGCGAATCGGCGATGAAGATGTTAAAAAAACCTTTCGAACAAGCGAACATAATTCGGTAAAGTAAAAATTGTGCGACGTTTCTGACAGACATATGACGGATGTAAAAAAGCAAGAGCTTGTAATACAAATAATTATATTTCCTGCACAAGTCGAGAGTAATTTTAGACAACTATCTTTCACATTTTCGCCGAGTCATTGTCCGGTTTTATCTCGCTATGTCAGAATTGCGACGGAAATAAATTACATAAAATAACGCAAGTAACGCAAAAAAAAAAAAAAAAAAGAAAAAGAAAAAGAATCAAACTGCTTTACTCGGGAGGTGAAAAACACGTGCGACGCTTCGTCTCTCTCCAGCTTTTCATTATCTCGCGAGATAAAGAAAAGTAGTATCAGTCTCGATGCCAAAGTGGAATAATTGATGCCACAAAGCACTTCCGCTGTTGTGTTCCCCATCTCTCTCTCTCCTTCTCCCCCCTCAGACCTGAGAGACCTATTCACGCGCATCGAAGACAGTCAAGAGCTGTTGCGCCACCTTTACCTCCTGCAGACAATGGCAATATTAACGCAATAGACCGTACCCGCCCATTGTTTTGGGTCGTGCAGCGTCGTAGACGAGGATTCTCGCTCGGATGTTACAAAAGATGTAAAACACACTCGCGACTGCGACAAACGGTGCGCTTGAAATTGTCACAAAAGACGATTGTATCGTTTGTATAAAAAAAAAAAAAAAAAAGTATCGTGTAATTTTCTTAGTTTTTTGTCACCGCGAGACTTATATCACCTTCTAGCCACCTAACCAATTATCGACCAGATATTGGTTTGATTTTCAGGTTTGCCAGAGATATCGTTCGGGTATGTACATTAAGTCAATTCCCTCCTCCTCCTCCCCCCCTCCCGGCGGATAACTAACAATAAATTATTCATGAGCTGTTCGCGCACACCGGAGAATACGCCGATACATGCCGCGCGCGTTTTGCAATTTCTGGTTGAAAACGAGTAACGCGCAAATGAGACGCGACAGACGTCGGATGTCGGCAGAGCGGTGAATACCGCCGCGGTTATTTAATCGAAAGGTCGATGACAGAGATCGCGCAAATGGGGTTTAACGGAAGCCATGTGCCGAGCGAACCTCTATGCCATCCGGGGATTTTCTACGAGCTCGGGTTCATATCGTTATCGCGTCATGCCACACTCGACCAATTTGTATATACAAAATACACGTCGTACACGTTAAACTTCGGTTCGGTTGAAATTATTACACAAGTAGATTATATAGTATTAGATATGTTAATTTGCGCAAAGATATATATATATATATACGAGCACACGATTTTACTATAATAAACCCCCACGTATTAACCGAGAATTATTATATTGCGAATTTGTGCAATGTGCACACGGGCGT